TCCCTTGAGACGTTCCGCGGCGCGTCCTCCTGGCATGGTCCCCTGTCCATTAGCTCTGGGGCAGCTACTATGTGTTCAGGCAGCTCGAGCTTCAGATCCAGATCAGTTCGGTCAGGACTCGGATGCAAAGGAGGACTCGATCCACGACGCTATAGAGCACAACCGCGGCATGGCACATCGCAATTCAGCACGGTGCAGCACAGCACAGCCCTCGGCAGGGTACATCAATATCGATACACTCAGCATTGCAACTTGGCAACGTTCCTGGCACGTTTCCGTGGGGCGTCCCTTGGCGAGTCCCCCTGGTACGTCGCGCGGCGCGTCCCCTGGCACATCCCGTGGCCCATCCATTGGCGCGTTCCGTAGCGCGTCCCTTTGGCACGTCCTACGGTGCGACCCCATGGCGCGTCCCCTGGCACGTCGCCTGGCGCATCCCTTGGGACGTTTCGCGGCGCGTCCTCCTGGCATGTCCCCCTGTCCATTCGCTCTGGGGCAGCTACTATGTGTTCAGGCAGCTCGAGCTTAAGATCCAGATCAATTCGGTCAGGACTCGGATGCAAAGGAGGACTCGATCCACGAGGCTATAGAGCACAATCGCGCCATGGCACATCGCAATTCAGCACGGCGCAGCACAGCACAGCCCTCGGCACGGTACATCAAGATCGATACACTCAGCATTGCATTTGCCCGTCACCCAATCAGGTGTCTTTGAAAACGCTGCCATGTGTTACAGTTCTATTTTCCTTTCCGGGTTCGTGGATCGATCATGTTTTTGGTGGTCCTGGCCTACAACCCCGTGCGAAAAGCAACTGGTGTTTGGTGAGCCTCCCGGCCCCCCATTTCAATGTTGATCGCGCGACCAGCGAAGTTCGAAAAAAGATCGCCACCGCATTCAACATGGAAATTGGGGGTGGGGGAGGAGGAGGAGGAGGAGGAGGAGGAGGTGATGAGGAAGGATGAGGAGGGAGGAGGAGAGGAGGATGAGGCAGGAGGAGGAGGAGGAGGGCAGGAGGTGGAGGAGGAGGAGGAGGGAGGAGGAGGAGGTGAGGAGGAGGAGGAGGGGAGGGGGAGTAAGGCGGAGGAGGAGGAGAGGAGAGAGGAGGAGGAGGAAGGAGGAGGAGACGAGGAGGAGGAGGAGAGAGAGGGGAGGAGGGAGGATGAGGGGGAGGAGGAGGGAGATGAGGAGAGGAGGGAGGAGGAGGAGGAGGAAGGGGGGGAGGGCGGAAGGAAGAGGAGGAGGAGGAAGAGGAGGAGGAGGCGGGAGAGGAGGGCAGGGGGAGAGTGATGAGGAGGAGAGAGGAGGAGGAGGAGGATAGGAGGAGGAGGAGGGGGGCGTGTAGAAAAGCACCAGTTGCTTTTTGCACGGGGCGGGCGAGGGCCCCGAAAGGCAGCAACAAGAACAGCACAAAGGCGCCCGCCGTGGCCTTTTGCACGACGCGAGGGGGTCTGGGCACCCCGGGCCTGTCCCCCTACAGGGGGGTTTTGGACGAACAATGAAAAATAGTCCCGAGCCGAATTTTAAAACATACAGAAGCACTCCCAAGATCGCCCCCCATCTATTTTTCCCGGAAAGGGCGCCGGCCCAGGGTTCTCTTTTAGTGGGTTTGACCCCGGTTTTGACATGAAGAGGGCCGGCGACATTTTTCTGCGTAAATAACGAGGTAAGGTGCTGATTTGTTTTGAAAAAAATCCGTTTCGTGCGTGCCCGCTCGAGGAAAGTGCGCCCCCCATCTCGGATCCTCGATAAAAAATTGGCCCTCGTACAAAAAATGGTGCGGAGCGTTTTTCGCAGAATCCACGACAAATAGCGAGGTCTGGAGCCCCGACCGCGACGCGGAAAAGCGCCCGCGCGCAGGAATTCCGAGGATGTCTCGCGCGTGCCGCGTCCCGCGCGCAGGAATTTCGAGGATGTCTCATCTAAGTCGATTGTTTTGTCCGGATTTCTTAGAATTTGGGCAGGATGTCTCGAGCGAAACGCTTGCTTTTTCATAATTTGTTGAGGGTGTCTCCAGCGAAACCCCAGTTTTGCAAAATTTGGCACTGTCTCGAGCGGGGGCTTCGTGGGGGGGCTGTTTTCGTGTCCCGCTCGCAGGGATTCCAAGGATGTCTCGCGCGGGCCGCGTCCCGCGCGCAGGAATTTTGAGGATGTCTAGACTAATTCGTTTGTTTTGTCAGGATTTCTTAGAATTTTGGCAGGATGTCTCGAGCGAAACGCTTGTTTTGTTTTATAATTTGTTGAGAAGGTCTCGAGCGAAACGCTGGTTTTGCAAAATTTGGGGATGTCTCGAGCGGGGGCTTCGTGGGGGGGCTAGAATTCAAAGGAGGTCTCAGGCGAAATGCTTGTTTTCGTGTCCCGCTCGTAGGAATTCCAAGGATGTCTCGCGCGGGCCGCGTCCCGCGCGCAGGAATTTTGAGGATGTCTCGACCAAGTAGATTGTTTTGTCCGGATTTCTTAGAATTTGGGCAGGATCTCTCGAGCGAAACGCTTGTTTTTCATAATTTGTTGAGGATGTCTCCAGCGAAACGCTGGTTTTGCAATATTTGGGGATGTCTCGAGCGGGGGCTTCGTGGGGGGCGAGAATTCAAAGGAGGTCTCAGGCGAAATGCTTGTTTTCGTGTCCCGCTCGCAGGAATTCCAAGGATGTCTTGCGCGGGCCGCGTCCCGCGCGCAGGAATTTTGAGGATGTCCCGTAGCGCGTCCCCTTGGCACGTCCTACGGTGCGACCCCCGACCCCATGGCACGTCCCTTGGCACGTCGCCCTGCGCGTCCCTTGGGACGTTTCGCGGCGCGTCCTCCTGGCATGTCCCCCTTGTCAATTAGCTCTGGGGCAGCTACTATGTGTTCAGGCAGCTCGAGCTTCAGATCCAGATCAGTTCGGTGAGGACTTGGATGTAAAGGAGGACTCGATCCACGACGCTGTAGAGCACAATCGCGGCATGGCACATCGCAGTTCAGCACGGCGCAGCACAGCACAGCCCTCGGCACGGTACATCAAGATCGATACACTCAGCATTGCACTTGCCCGTCACCCAATCAGGTGTCTTTGAAATCGCTGCCACGCGTTACATTTCTATATTCCTTTCCGGGTTCGTGGGTCGATCATGTTTCCCGGAAAGGGCTTGGGCCCAGGGTTCTCTTTTAGGGGTTTGCCCCCGGATTTGACGGCTGTAGGGCTGGCGAATTTCTTTTGCGATAAATAAAAGGTCGCGTAGGGCCGGCGAATTAAAATTTGAGGATGTCTCGAGCGAAGCGCTTGTTTTTTTTTGTTTTTAGAATTTGTAGAGGATGTCTCGAGAACGCTTGTTTTGTGTTATAGATTGTCTTCTCTCTCAAGTGAAATGCTTGTTTTCACGTGCCCAGGTCTTGAGGATGTCTCGAGCGAGACGCTTGGTTTCACGCCTCCAGGTCGCCCCGGCAGAGGTCTAGCGCCAGCAGGATTTGTTGAGGATGTCTCGAGCGAGACGCTTGGTTTCACGCGTCCTCGTCGCCCAGGCGGATGTCTAGCATGAGGATGTGTTGAGGAAGTCTCGATCGAGATGCTTGTTTGCACGTGTCCAGGTTGTCCAGGCGGATGCATAGCATGAGGATGTGTTGAGAATATCTCGAGAGATGATTACGCTTGTTTTCACGTGTCCCAGTCACCCAGGCGGATGTCTAACATGAAGATGTGTTGAGGATGTCTCGAGCGAGACGTTTGCTTTCACGTGTACAGGTCGCCCAGGCGGATGTCTAGAATGAGGAGGTGTTGAAAACGTCTCGAGCGAAACGCTTGTTTTCACGTGCCCAGGCCACCCAGGCGGACGTCTCACATGAAGATGTGTTGAGGATGTCTCGAGCGAACCACTTGTTTTCACGTGTCCAGTTCGCCCAGGCGGATGTCTAACATGAGAATGTGTTGAGGATGTGTTTAGCGAAACGCTTGTTTTCACGTGTCCAGGTCGCTCAGGCGGATGCCTAGCATGAGGATTTTGACAGGATATCTCGAGCGAAACCCTTGTCCCCAGCACGTTCCGTAGCTCGTCCCCATGGCACGTCCCGCGGTGCGTCCCCATGGTACGGCTCCTGGCACGTCGCTTGGCGCGTCCCTTGGGACGTTCCGCGGCGCGTCCTCCTGGCATGTCCCCCTTGTCAATTAGCTCTGGGGCAGCTACTATGTGTTCAGGCAGCTCGAGCTTCAGATCCAGATCAGTTCGGTCAGGACTCGGATGCAAAGGAGGACTCGATCCACGACGCTGTAGAGCACAATCGCGGCATGGCACATCGCAGTTCAGCACGGCGCAGCACAGCACAGCCCTCGGCACGGTACATCAAGACCGATACACTCAGCATTGCAACCCGGCACGTTCCTTGGCACCTTCCGTGGGGCGTCCCTTGGCGAGTCCCCCTGGCACGTCGCGTGGCGCTTCCTTGGCACATCCCGTGGCACATCAATTGGCACGTTCCGTAGCGCGTCCCCTTGGCACGTCCCGCGGTGCGACCCCATGGCACGTCCCCTGGCACGTCGCCTGGCGCGTCCCTTGGGACGTTTCGCGGCGCGTCCTCCTGGCATGTCCCCCTTGTTAATTAGCTCTGGGGCAGCTACTATGTGTTCAGGCAGCTCGAGCTTCAGATCCAGATCAGTTCGGTCAGGACTCGGATGCAAAGGAGGACTCGATCCACGACGCTATAGAGCACAATCGCGGCATGGCACATCGCAGTTCAGCACGGCGCAGCGCAGCACAGCCCTCGGCACGGTACATCAAGATCGATACATTCAGCATTGCATTTGCCCGTCACTCAATCAGGTGTCTTTGAAAACGCTGCCACGCGTTACATTTCTATATTCCTTTCCGGGTTCGTGGGTCGATCATGTTTTTACCATTTTTGAGTATTCCTCCTGTAGAGGGACAGGCCCGACCTAAATCCAGCCCCAGGCGGGCGATCTCAAGCAGCGCAGACCCCTCAGCCCAGCAGCCCGCGAGGGATCGCAAGGGGACGCCAGCAGGGAGCGGCCCGCGAGGAGCTGCTGCTCGACGCCTCCCTGCGCGAGCGGTTCGCGATGCCGCTGCCGCTGCCGGCGGCGGAGGCGGAGGCGCCTCCCCAAGGAGGAGGAGGAGGAGGAGGAGGAGGAGGAGGAGGAGGAGGAGGAGGAGGAGGAGGAGGAGGAGGAGGGGGGATCTGGGCGTTGCAGTTGTTTCACGCTGGGCGTTTTCGCCCAATGTCGGGCCCTCGGGTCGCCGACCCATGCGGCTCGAGAAAATACAGCAGAAAAACATGGGCTCTGGTCGCGTTTTTGTGCGATGCGTTTTTTTCATGGCGTCGGATCTCAGGGCGGGGGGCAGGAAAAGTGGACTTGACATCTCTCGGACGCGCGCGCGTGTGAGTGTGTGTGTGGGTGTGCGTGTGCGTGTGCGTGTGCGTGTGCGTGTGCGTGTGCGTGTGCGTGTGCGTGTGCGTGCGCGTGCGCGTGTGCGTGTGCGTGTGCGCGTGTGCGCGTGTGCGCGTGTGCGTGTGCGCGTGTGCGCGTGTGCGCGTGTGCGCGTGTGCGCGTGTGCGCGTGTGCGCGTGTGCGCGTGTGCGTGTGTGCGTGTGTGCGTGTGTGCGTGTGTGCGTGTGTGCGTGTGCGTGTGTGCGTGTGTGCGTGTGTGCGTGTGTGCGTGTGTGCGTGTGTGCGTGTGTGCGTGTGTGCGCGTGTGCGCGTGTGTGCGTGTGTGCGTGTGTGCGTGTGTGCGTGTGTGCGTGTGTGCGTGTGTGCGTGTGTGCGTGTGTGCGTGTGTGCGTGTGTGCATGAGTGCGTGTGTGCGTGTGTGCGTGTGTGCGTGTGTGCGTGTGTGCGTGTGTGCCGTGTGTGCGTGTGTGCGTGTCGTGTGTCGTGTGTCCGTGTGTGCGTGTGTGTGTTGCGTGTGCGTGTGCGTGCGTGTGCGTGTGCGCGTGCGTGTCGTGTGCGTGCGTGTGCGCGTGTGCGTGTGCGCGTGTGCGTGTGTGCGTGTGTGCGTGTGTGCGTGTGTGCGTGTGTGCGTGTGTGCGTGTGCGAGTGTGTGCGTGTGTGCGTGTGTGCGTGTGTGCGTGTGTGCGTGTGTGCGTGTGTGCGTGTGTGCGTGTGTGCGTGTGTGCGTGTGTGCGTGTGTGCGTGTGTGCGTGTGTGCGTGTGTGCGTGTGTGCGCGTGTGCGTGTGTGCGTGTGTGTGTGGTGTGTGCGTGTGTGCGCGTGTGCGTGTGTGCGCGTGTGCGTGTGTGCGTGTGTGCGTGTGTGCGTGTGTGCGCGTGTGCGCGTGTGCGCGTGTGCGCGTGTGCGCGTGTGCGCGTGTGCGCGTGTGCGCGTGTGCGCGTGTGTGCGCGTGTGCGCGTGTGCGCGTGTGCGCGTGTGCGCGTGTGCGCGTGTGCGCGTGTGCGCGTGTGCGCGTGTGCGCGTGTGCGCGTGTGCGCGTGTGCGCGTGTGCGCGTGTGCGCGTGTGCGCGTGTGCGCGTGTGCGCGTGTGCGCGTGTGCGCGTGTGCGCGTGTGCGCGTGTGCGCGTGTGCGCGTGTGCGCGTGTGCGCGTGTGCGCGTGTGTGCGCGTGTGTGCGCGTGTGCGCGTGTGCGCGTGTGCGCGTGTGCGCGTGTGCGCGTGTGCGCGTGTGCGCGTGTGCGCGTGTGCGCGTGTGCGCGTGTGCGCGTGTGCGCGTGTGCGCGTGTGCGCGTGTGCGCGTGTGCGCGTGTGCGCGTGTGCGCGTGTGCGCGTGTGCGCGTGTGCGCGTGTGCGCGTGTGCGCGTGTGCGCGTGTGCGCGTGTGCGCGTGTGCGCGTGTGCGCGTGTGCGCGTGTGCGCGTGTGCGCGTGTGCGCGTGTGCGCGTGTGCGCGTGTGCGCGTGTGCGCGTGTGCGTGTGCGCGTGTGCGCGTGTGCGCGTGTGTGCGTGTGCGTGTGTGCGTGTGCGCGCGTGTGTGCGCGTGTGCGTGTGCGTGTGTGCGTGTGCGCGTGTGCGCGTGTGTGCGTGTGTGCGTGTGTGCGTGTGTGCGTGTGTGCGTGTGTGCGTGTGTGCGTGTGTGCGTGTGTGCGTGTCGTGTGTGCGTGTGTGCGTGTGTGCGTGTGTGCGTGTGTGCGTGTGTGCGTGTGTGTGTGTGTGCGTGTGTGCGTGTGTGCGTGCGTGCGTGCGTGCGTGCGTGTCTGTGAGTCTGTGAGTCTGTGTGTCTGTGTGTCTGTGTGTCTGTGTGTCTGTGTGTCTGTGTGTCTGTGTGTCTGTGTGTCTGTGTGTCTGTGTGTCTGTGTGTCTGTGTGTCTGTGTGTCTGTGTGTCTGTGTTCTCGCGGCGGGGACCATCGAGGAGCATCCTGAATCACTGGCACAAGAAAATACGCAAGAAGCCGGCAAATTCACGAGGAATGGACGTCCGAGCGATGGCAAGTGGAAGGGGACCAGGGGAAGGCTCGAGGGTACAGGGGGGGCGGGGGGGGGGGGCGAGCCCCGGCCCGGGTCGCTGTTCATCACGCTTGCCAATTGGGGGGGGCGCACAATCAAATATTGGTTTGGTTGCAGCCCCCCCCGCCTGGCTGCCCCAAATAGTTCTATCCGCTCGTGGCGGCGGGGGCACTGCGTGGGATGACGAGGAGGAGGAGAAGGAGGAGGAGAAAGAGGTCGAGGAGGAGGAGGAGGAGGAGGGCCTGTGTCAACCCACGACCCATCAACGATATTTCAATAAACCCTCCTTCCGAGCTCCCTCTTCACAGGGCCCTGCCAGGATCGGTTTTCACTGAGAGAGGTGCCCCATTGGAAGACCCCCGCTTGAAAAATCCAGAACTGCGCTGACCATCCGTTGTACTTCAACGCCGAGAATCACTGCTACTGTTGCTTCTCGACGATCCTGAATCGCGCCGGAACGCCATGCCTGGACCGCGAATCAACGTAACTGTTGCGCTCTGACAATCTGACATCGTGCCAAACACAATTTCTGGAATGCTCACTACGAGAATCCTCGAAGCTGCTGCAAACCACTCTTTCAACGAACGCGCGCGGCGCGGAGGTGCGAGTCACATTTTGAAGAGGAGCCGCCCTCCAACCGTGAAGCTACTGCAGTTGTTTAAGACGGCTGTTCGCGGCGCTTAGGCGAGAGCCGAAGATTTTCACGGCGCCAACATCGCAGAGCGGATTTCTTTCGGAAAGCGATCGGATGGGCCCGGAGTGTCCTGGAGAATTCCGTTCCGGATTTCGAGGTGAATTCCGTGTGGATTTGCTTGGGCAAGGAATGAAGACTAAAACAAATTCACGTGAAATTTATCTAGTTGTCCGCTCGCCACTTCAGGCAAAAATCCACGCAGGAATCCGCCGCAGCACGTCTGTAAGGCCAGTGCAATGAACCGACTGCAAAGTTTTCAGACGACTGTGCGCGGCGCTGAGGCGAGAGCCACATGCTGAAAACCACCCGCTCTCAACCCGTGAAATTGTTGCAAGTGTTTCAAGCAGATGCGCGCGGCGCTAAGGCGAGAGTCACATGTTGAAAACTTCCGGCCCTCCGTCCGTGAAGCTCTTGCAAGTCGTCATCTTAAGGATCATGAGTGGTGAGGAAGTCTCAGACGAAACGCCCAGCCCGCCCTACCGACACGCCTCGGGGTGCGACAGGGAGTAGTTCTTCATAAGCACGAAAAATGGAGAAGGCGGAGGAGAGGAGGACGCAGGACTTAGCATAGAAAATGGAGTCATGCAAGCACGATACCACCTCTGAACTGAAGTGAACACGGGAGCACAACTAAAAATATACGAGGTGTTGCATGCGAGGTCAGATTACCATCGCACGCCAGAGAAATCCACCGAATAGAGCTAAGGGAGGAAGAGGAGGAGGAGGCGGAGGAGGAGGAGGAGGAGGAGTAGGATATGACCGCCTTTTTTCTGCCGTTTACCTGGTAAGAGTCATTTGCCATCTCCCCTTGCGCTTTCTAGGGCGGGAGGGAGTACCGAGGGCGCCGAGGTTTCAGGAGGAAGCAGGTCGGCGGGAAAGGAGGAGGAGGACGAGGAGGAGGAGGAGGAGAAGGAGAAGGACGAGGAGGAGGAGGAGGACGAGGAGGAGGAAGAGGAGGAGGAGGAGGAGGAGGAGGAGGAGGAGGAGGAGGAGGAGGAGGAGTCGAGGACGGAGTCGAGGATGCACCCCTGGCGGTGCCTCCAGCGCCGCCCCTGGCACGCTCCGCGAGCGGGTGAGGGGGATCCAGTGCCGATCCAAGACCTCTGAGGGAGTTTATGATTATGCAATTGCTTCTGCCTCTAGTCGGCAGCCGAGGTTTTATCCATATCCCTACTGGCGTCCAAGTCCCGCCAGGGGTCAGAGCGGGGGAAAGGATCGAATCCCGGCCTCAGGAGGCAACACGTTTATCCATGTCCGCGCCCACAGTGGAAGGCAGTAGCAGTGGCATGAATAAGAGATCGACCGCGCATCTAAGGATGAGGAGGAGGAGGAGGTGACTGTTTCGGCACCTCCCCCTCAACTTCCGTTCCAGAGTGCCGGTCATGGCAGAGGGGAGCTGCGTCTCCGCCCTTCACGGGTCACCAGCGGGCACCCCCGATCACTCGTCGATGCAGCTCTCCGCCCAGGCGTCGGGCCACTTCTCCTCCGCCCCTCCTCCCCCTGTGCTGGCTGGACGAGAGCCTCGCCCACCGCCCGCTCCAGCGTAGGGCCGTCGCCTGGCGTCGGCACTGCACAGGAACAGGCGTTGGGTGCGGCTCTGCGCGCCCGTGCGCGCATTTTTAGTGGGTGTGGGACCTGCCCGCACCCGAGAGGCACGGCCTCTTTTCTGTCCCTTCGGCCAGCTTCCGCCCGCGAATGCTAGACCTTGGTTGCCCCTTGCCCCATCGGCCCATCCCGCTTCTCGGGCCGACGAGCGGGGCAGGGATTTGGCAGGGCTGGGGGGTGGCCGCGAGGTACGAACGCTGGTGCCTGCCGCTCCCTTCGGGTCCGCCGCGGGGCACCGCCCTCGCTGCGCGGCCGCCTCCGGCACCAGGCGGCGCGATGCGAACCAGTTGCATGCCGCCGATCCGCACCCCGCCCCCATTTGCTATCCCCTCCCCCCTTTTGTCCGCCCCGACCCTCCTCCTGCTGGCAGTGTAGCTTTCGCTGAGGCCGTGCCTTCGCCCACGCGCCAGACGGCGAATGTCCTGATACGATCCGATGCGCCTCCACAACGAGGTTCGGGTGCGCGCAGACGGGTGTGGCGCGGCGGGCTTCTGAGACGCCCCCGCCGCTTCCCACACGCCTCCGAGCCCTTCTAAGAGCAGCCCTGCCCTGTTCTCCAGTACGTGCCCGCGTCCGGCCGCGGCGGCGAGAACTTTAATTTTCAGGGACGCCCACGACCCCCTGAACTGCGACGACTTCGCCAGAAGGCGTCTGGAGATTCCACCTCTCCAGGCCCAAGCCAAAACTCCATGGGCCACCGGCAGCTGCCCCAGCCCGCCGCCTTGGGGAAGCAGGCCCCCCCCCCGCCCGCCCCCCACCCTGGCGATGCCACCCCCTCACGTCCTGTGACCCGCGCAGAGCTGAGGCTCAGCATCGCAGATCTCTTGTCGGAAGGACTTTTTCCGAGCGGCTCCCCTCGCACTCTGCCGAGGCCCGCGCGCCAGAGGGGCGGCCACTTCTCTCGGAGAATCAGATCTCTGTGCTTGGCACCTTGAGACGGCCCTGGGCAGCTGCGGCCCAGAACAAGTTTGGGAGGGCCGACCGTCGTGTGCCCCCTGACATTCCGTGGTTTTGTTTTTTTGCAAAACGGCGGTTCTTGCATTGTTTTTTTCGCTGGCCTTGTTTTTTGGGTTATGTAATGTTTTTCTTGTGCATGCATTGTTTTTTGGGTATGCAAGAACCGCCGTTTTGTAAAAAAACAAAACCGAGGAATGTCAGGGTCTGTCCACGAGGCCTGGAGGTCTTGCGCGCTTCTGGCCTGCGGTCCGTCGCCCCCCTTCCGTCCCCACCCGTGCGGGTGCAGTTCGACACACTGCGGCCCGCCATAGCTTCGACCGCGACGGTTTTTCTTTTTATATATATATATATATATATATATATACATACCGCTGCGGGCGATCTACAATTCTATTGTTAAGCTGGGCCTGTCCCTCTACAGGAGGAATATTCAAACATAGTTTTAGAACATAGTCAGGGGACCGTTTTGTTTAGCATCTCTGGAGTATTTTGGGGTAGAGTTGGGGGTACTTTCAACTGTTCATCCAAATCCCCATGCGGGGTGACATGCCCGACCTAACTCTATTGTTTCTGCTCGCGGCCGCGGCCCTGGGCCGCAAGAGAGCGGCTGCCGCCGCCGGAGCGCCCGCCCCAGGAGCTGCGGAGGGAGCTCGGCGCCTGCTACATCGAGGGGGCAAGCCGCCAGCGCTGGGCCTGGTCTGCGGGCGGACCGCCGGGCTGGATCGAGTTCCGGCCCAGGGGCGTGCTCTGGACCAAGGACGGCTGGAGCCGGGGGCGGTTCTGTTGCATCTTCGGGGGACCTCGCCTGTCCCAAACATTGGTGTCTTTTGGGGGGCCCGACGCGTGCTCGATGCGGACTCGACGCGGATTTGGCGTGGATTCGACACGGATTCGACACGGATTCGACACGGATCCGACGCGTCCGACATGGATTCGACACGGATTCGACGCGGACAGGGCCGCGACGGGACAGACAAGGTCCCCCGAGGATGCAACATGGGGGCGGCGGAGATGGGATGACCATGCCACCGTCGGGGATTTGTGCGTAGCGTGTCGCTCCGCCAGATCTGTCACACCACGCCCTGGCGCGACACGCAAACCATTCTCCAGCCCCCGAGCGTCAACGTCCGGAACTTTTCCCAGGCTCCCGTCCCGCGGAGCGAACAAAGCACGCTTTCAGCAAGCATTCCCCGGGAGTGTCGCCAGAGCCGTCGCGGCGACACGCTAAGCTAAACAGTTCGCGGCCGTCTGCGCTTTTTCTGCATCCTCGGCCTCCGGAGACCGGCTTGGGACCTCTGGGGCCGTCAGAAACGGCTCAGGAGGAAACGACGGTCCCCAGGAAAGGGATCGAGAGGTCCAGGGGCCCCGAGACGTGGGCAGGGCTGGGCTTGTGCCGCGGGCGTCGAAGACGGTGGTGCGGACCAGGAGGAGTGAACGGTATGGCCAGGGCCATCGACGTGTCCTAGGTAATCTGGCAGTGGCGAGGCGTCCTGGCTTGCCTGGCCCACCACAGGATGTTCTCAGAACCTTGTGTGGTTTGCACGAAATGTTCTTAGAACATTTCTGGCTGGGGCTGCCTTTTTTAACACATCGCCTTTATGTTATAAGAACACAAGTTTGGAGATTCGAGCATTCTTGGGGTTCGAGCAATATTTCGTGGTAGGCCTATAGGAATGCCAGGACGGTCGGTCCCTGCTCAAGATAAAGGTAGAGGCCTCCTAGATGGGCCCCTCCCCTCTTACCCGGTCGGGACCTGGCCGGGACCCGGCCAGGGGTCAGCCGGGGTACTTTTCGTCCGGGGCCCCCCAGGGGCTGCCCCGCGCGCGCGAACTAGAAATATTGTTAAGTAGTTACCGGAGATCTTAGCACGCCTCTGGTCCGTTGGGCTGGCGAATTTTGCCAACGCGTTCCCTGCCCCCCCCCCCGCGCCGTCCGTGCAAGGAAAGCCGGATAGGGGTATCCATCCGAGGAGAACGTTCTGTCCCCCGTACGAGGGGCTCCATCTCGCGCGAGGCCCACCGACAGGATATCCCCCCAAAAAGAAATGTCCCGCCCTCTGGGTCTGGCTCTCCTTCGGACCTCCGAGAAGCAGCGGCGGCGCGCGCTTCCAGCTCGCGCCTGCCCACTTCCCCTGCTTCCTTCGCGGGAGCTCAGACCGAAGGCGAGGAGCAGTGACGAAAGCTCCATCCTCGTGGGCGCCTCCTGCTCGACAAGCGGTCGCACGCGGGGGGGGGGGGGGGCGGTTCCTTCTTTATCTGGCGCCACTCCAAGGTGGCTGAGTGGCTGGACCAGCACGCTCGGGTGGCTGAAGATGGGGACCGAGCATCGCCAGCAGGCTCACCAGGCCGAGAGGGGTGCTCGCCTCTCGGCCGCCTCGGGCGGGACGCGTTTGGCGGCCCGCGAGCGTGCGGGGGGGCCGTCACGTGGCCCCCGTGAGGCCCCTCGGTTTACGATGAGCCGCACGGTGCCACCACGAGGTGCAGACCGAGGCCAGGTCCCTCGCAGGGGCCTCGGCCTCCAGCACACGGTGCTCCTGGACCTGCCACGGGGTCTGCTGCAGCAGACCTCGGGCCACGAGAGCCTCGCCGCGGGCCCCCGCAGCAGCCCCTTTTCGCATGAGGAAGAGGCAGCAGCAGCACGAGGAGGGAGGTCCACGGCAGGAGGAGGTTCGGGGACGGCAGGAGCCTCTGGATCCCACTCCTCCTGGCCACTCTCCTAGGTCCGCCAGCTCCAAGTGATCAAAGTCCTGGTGGTGATCCCGTGGGCCCATGTCCACTGCCATTGCTGCGCATCGCTCTGCCACTTGCTGACCAGCAGCACGAATGCCTTCAAACGCTAGCACATCAGCCTCGAAAGCTCTGGCCTTCAACGCCCCCTGCGAGTTGCACACACGGCGGAACGGCGAGATCATACCAGCCTCCTCGTCCCGTGAGGTCGCGTGGCCTTTGAGCGTGCCTTGGTCCACAAGTGGGCTCGAGCGTTGGAGGGTGCCTGCGCCATCGGAGGCTTCATACAGAAGCTAAGGGTTCCCCTGCAGTCACAGAGGACCGAAAACTGACGGAAAACGTGTTCAGACACCTTCAGGATTGCAAAGTACTCCCCGTCTCTGGCTATTTGCTGAGGCCCAGGAAGTGACAGGACAGCTCCGTGACAGCTCCGTAAGTCGCTCCCTGGAAACGCCGTTCGGAGTCGCACCGGACAGTTGCTCGCCCAGCGCACCTAATCGAGGGGAGGTCTCATCCAAAGCCAGAACCTTCCACACAAAAACACAGCTTCCCTCCAAGTTGCACGGAGGCGAGGCCGCTCTGCTTTTGATTTCCCATTCGGACAAACATTCTGGCACGCGAAAATATGGATTCGGTTCAGGAGAAAAAACCATTGGCAAAGCGCTCGCGCCAGCTGAGGGCCGCCTTGAAAACCGTTTTGCGAGCACGCTCCGTTAAACCTTCGAGGTTGACACGGCACCACGGCGCGTGCGCTTGACAGCGGAAGGCCCTGTGGAAACAAAGGTCTCGTGACTCCTTTGGCACAGCATGCGCTGGTCTGGCAGAGTGGGTTGGCGCTTGTTTATCAGCACCAAATTCCAACGAGACCCAGCAGTCATGCCCTAAGCACATTCTGATCATGCTCACTCCAACCATCGGTTGGCCTAACAAACAGAAGCTCTAGAGCTGGCCTCCAGAAGAGCTCGGAGCCCCACGGGCCGTCCTTATCCTACAAAAGGGCCCGCCGATCAGACGCTCGACGGGCCGAGTAGGCCGCAAGCTGCACAACGCAACCAGGCGAATCAAACATCAAGTCCCGCTCCCCCCTCTAGTCGTCCACCGCAACCGTCGCCGCCCGAAACATCCACCCAACCCTTCTCATAGTCAGAACCAGCGCCATGACTGGGGCCCTAGCCGAAATCCGCGGTCCCGCCCGACGGGCGCGCGACTGCGCTTGGACCAGCAATCCTTCCAGGACTGATCTGGACAAATGGCCTTCCCAGAGCAACGCTGCACAAGTCTTTAAACAATCAACCGCCGCAAGGACCAAGGGGTCCCTGCGCCAACCCGCACGACTGGCTGAGATAAGCAATCCTTGCGAGGCCCCTCGAGGAAGACGTCCCTGGGCTTTCGCAGCTTGGATCCTCAACAGAGTTGGGCGCCCATCTAGAATGCCAGAGATGCTCGCTCCACTCCTCCTCCTCCGCCTCCTTCCTATTCTCATACCCATTCCCTAGTATCCTCCTTTTCATGCTCCCGTTCTCCATCCTTTTCCTCCTCCTCCTCCTCTTCCTACGTATGCTCCCGTTCTCTGTTCTCCTCCTCTTCCTCCTACTCCCTCGCGTGGCCGTTCATGCACCGATTCCGTGACACGTGCACTTGCCTCGCAGCCCGAGTCTAGGGATTTCGAAGCCGGTTTGACACGCTGTAGATGACATGCGGTGATTCGCTAGTTCCTTGCCCTTCCTTCCCCCCCCCGTCTCCAACAAATTGCGTTTGATCCACAAAACAAGATCTTCTACGCTCGTCCTCCTCCTCCTCCTCCTCCTCCTCCTCCCCCTCCTCCTCTTCCTCCTCCTCCTCCTTCTTTTCCTCCTCCTCCTACTCCTCCTCCTCCTCCTCCTCCCTCTCCTCTTTCCCACAATCCCACCCGCTTCGCCCCGGAGCGAGTTCCGACCATGACCTCTCCCAGTGCGGATCCGACCTGGTCATGGCGGCGAGTACCCGCTCTGGGGCCCAGAGAGGCCCCCCAAAGCAGGGATCTGAGCAGAAAGCCTTGGGGCAGAGGACCCTGGACGGCCTCGCGCGGCCACAGTGGGCCGACCCGCCGCGTGCCTACGAGAGTCTCCGAGGTCCATCGGAGGTAGCCCGACGACGCCCGACGACGACGGCGCACGATGACGAAGCCCAGCGACGACGCCAAAGACAAAGACCAAGACCAAGACCAAGACCAAGACCAAGACGACGAAGAGAGGGACGACGACAAAGACAAAATCAAAGACAAAGACGACATAGACAAAGACAAAGACAAAGACGACGACGATGACGACGAGGTGACGAAGAGGTGACGACGATAACGTCAACGACGACAACGAGGACCAGGACAAGGACGACGACGACGGAACCCCGACGGAGGACGACGGCGTGGGCGCATGGGAGCCCCTGCGCGAGTGGGACCGGGGCACGTTCCTGGCTGTCCACCTCTGCGACCGCGCTGAGGTGGCCCTCCCTCCAGTCGAGGAGGAGGGATGTGGAGGAGCAGGAGGAGAAGCAGTTGCAGGAGGATGATACACAAAAAACATAATCGCGCGCCATCTGTTGTTTTTCAAGAGGGCCTCCATGGATTGTCTACGATGGATGCAGGGTGAAAAACCGGCGGCTTTGGCTTGGAGGTGGAGGAGGAGGAGGAGGAGGAGGAGGAGGAGGAGGAGGAGGGAGGGAGGGGAGGCAGGAGGAGGAGGAGGAGAGGAGGAGGAGGAGGAGGATGGAGGGAGGAAGAGGAGGAGGAGAGGAGGAGGGGAGGGGGGGGAGGGGGAAGGGGAGGGGAGGGGGAGGGGGAGGGGGAGGGGGGGGGGGGGGGGGGGGGGGGGGGGGAGGGGGAGGGGGAAGGAGGGGAGGAGGGAGGAGGAGGACAAGGAGGAGGAGGAGGAGGAGGAGGATGAGCAGGAGGAGGAGCAGGAGGAGCACGAGAAGGAGAGAGGAGACAAGCTTGGCGCGCTCGCGCTAAATCGGACAGCCTTTCCCTCCCGCCCATATCTTCCCATTGCGTTGAGTTTTGTCTATCTGCCGACGCGTGTCATAATTGATCTGGAACGCTCAAGAGGACCCCATCGTCGTATTCGCAATCGCAGAAAATAGGAGCTGCGCACAGTTGGGGAAGAGGTGACGGATGAGCACGAGGATGGGCAGGAGGAAAGAAGGATGGCAGGATGATGAGGACGAAAATCAGCTGGAGCTAGAATGGAAGGAGCTGGAGCAGCATGAGGACTAGGGGAAGGCGGAGGAGAGGAAATGGAGGTAGAGGCGGCAGCGCTGGAAAAGGATTCGGATCCAGAAAAGAGGCCCGCGCCAGGGCGAGAGCGCCGTTCTGAACGACGGGAGCAAAGCGCCGATCAAAAAATGAGGCCCATGCTGCAGCGGGAACACCGGTCTGAAACATCGGGATCAGTTGGAGTGTGAGCCAACAGAAGAGGAATCAACGTGCGCGAAATTCGGTGTCAAAGCCTTACGCAGAGAGGGCTGGATATTTCCCTCTCTCAGGGGAGAGAGGAGAGAAGTAGTATTCATCGTGCGTAATTGTACAAAGGAGGAGGCAGAGGAGGATGAGGAGGAGAAGGAGGATGGGGAGAATTAGGAGGGAAGTAGCATGAGGAGGAATCGGAGCAGCAGCAGCTGCAGGCCCTTAGGTCAGGGCGTCGCGAAGAAGGCACGGCGGGCATCTTCTGCGTGGTTTCAGACTCCCCATAGGGGGCCTCACGGATCGCCTCTGGCACAGGGCATGCCGCAGAGAAATCGAGTCCAGGGAGTGGCCGTGGTTTTCTTGTCACGGCGTCGTGCTTGTTCACGGTGTGTTCGGCTTCGGGCTGGCGAGGGTCAGGACTCCGAGGTTTCTTATCTCGGCGTCGCCCCAACATACTCATACCATATGTGCTATATGTTCGGGTCGGACACGCGCCTCCAAGGAGGACACATAGTATTAGTATGTCTCTGTGCGTCCCACTATCTGCTCATGGCCACGAGGGGGGCGCAGCTCGAGAGGCTAGCCAGAACGATGTCCACGAGGCGTCTGGCAGCGGGCTCCCGGCAAGCTTGGCGGGCTAGCCCGGACCTCTGGGCGCCACGGGCAGGCCACGAGGGGTGCGGCGCCTTCTGCGATCGCGGCCTCTGGGTTCTGTTCTCGGGCCCGGCTCCGCCCTGTCGTCGTCGTTGTCTTCGTCATTCTCCCGCTCCTCCTGCTCCTCCTGCTCCTGCTCCTCCTCCTCCTCCTCCTCCTCCTCCTGCTCATGTTCCTCCTCCTCCTCCTCCTCCTCCTCCTCCTCCTCCTCCTCCTCCTCCTCCTCCTCCTCTCTATCTCTCTCTGCCGTGAAGCCATCATGACGTGGCCATTCCCCCCCAAGGCCAGTCGGCCTTGGGGGGGATGATCAAACTGGTTGCCTCGCGACCTGTGGTCGGGGCGCGAGAATAGTTGTGAAGGTAAAAGGCATAATAGACTCCTACCGTACATGGACAATATATCCGAACCCTGCGACACAAGATGTCCCCCGGACCCCCAAATTAATATTGGGGAGATGTGGCAATGAAGGGGGGGCTTGGGTGGACAATAATATTCGAACCCCCAAGGCAACACCCATACCTATCTCAACATTGAAGTGGGGGGGCAGGGGGGGGACCAGCATTCCCTTCACGTCTGCAATGGGTTCGAATATATTGTCCATGTACTGTATGTCTCCTTCTCCTTCTGGTCGTCCCGCTGCTCATCCTTTGGGTGTGGAGCAAGCTGGGGGTCTTATGTGGCCCAGCACTGGTTCCGGCAAGCAGGAAGGGAGGGCAGGTTCGAGGTGCCAGGGTCGGGAAGGCCTTGTGCCGTTTTCGGCCTCTGGGGACCGTTCTCGAGCCTCGCGGAGACCGTGATAAACGGATCCAAGGTGAAAAGCTACCCCACATGGACCCTGGGAGGGGTACAGTACAGGTATCAATTTTGAGCGGATTTGATTTCATCTCCGCCTCCTGACCGATTTTCTGTAGCCTAGCCGGTGCAGGCCCCGAGGAAAATGATATCTGTCCCCCGTACTCTCCCCCCCGCTAATTCCCTCTCTCCCATCCCTCATCCCTCTCCCGCTTCTCTTCCTCTATGTGTCCTCTGCGCCGTAGCCGAGGAAACCTAGTCCTTCAGAGACTCGATCGAGTCTGATGTTGTATTTTCTGGCAGGAGGCTTCGGACCTTGGGAGTCAAAACCAGCTCAGGACGAACGCCGACCGGGGAACGGGTCGAGAGGTACGTGGCCCCGAGACTTTTCGTGACCCTCTATAGTTCCGGGTCCCAGGAATACAAGTACTCCCTGGCCTTCGCCCCAGACTACAGGTATTCCTCCCTTGGACTATAGGTGCCCCCCCCCCCCCCCCCCGGACTACAAGTACCCTCTACCTGGACTATACAGGTACCCCCCCCCCAGACTACATCCACCCGCGCGGAATCCCGCGCGCGTGGAGTTTCGCGTGCGTTGACGCGTTAACAAGCGTTCCCCCCTGGACTGCAGGTACCTCCCCCCAGAATACAGGTAACTTCCCCTGGACCACCGGCACCTCAACCCGGACTGCTGGTCCCCCCCCCGAACTACGGGTACCCCTCCCCAGGATTACATGTACCCTCCCACAGAGTAGACAATATCGACTCGTGGGAGGTTTGAAGAGGCCGTTGTCGTCCTGATTCTACCCGCCCGTTTTGCCCCCCTCTCGGAAAACCGGGAAATTTGGAGGAGCAGCTGGAGACCTTCCAGGTACATCCGACCTATTTCGAAGGCCTCAGCAACCACAGGACAAGTCTGCTGCACTCGTCATCCGGGGCAATTGCCAATTAGCGCATAGTTAGAGTTCAGTCCAGGCGAGAGAACGGTGAGCCCTCTCCTCCTTGTCCTCCTCGACTCCTCCTCCTCCTCCTCCTCCTCCTCCTCCTCCTCCTCCTCCTGTCCTCCTCCCTTCCTCCTCCCACCTCCTCCCTCTTCCTCGTGCGGCCTCTATGCGCCGACTCCGTGACACGTGCACTTGCCTCGCTGCCCGAGCACAGGGATTCTGCAGCGGGCTTGGCAGGCCGTGGGTGACATGCGCTGTTTCGCAAGTTCCCAGCCCTTCACATTACATTACGCCTGAACAAAAAAGCGCATTGCGCTTGAACGGAGCACAGTCTTGTACGCTCGTCTCTTAGGGAGGGGGGGGGAGGAGGGAGGGGAAGAAAGGAGGAGGAGGAAGGAGGAGCAGGAGGAGGAGGAGGAGGAGGACTAGTGATGGCGGTAGTGTGCGTGTGTGTATATATGTATGTGTGTGCGTGTGTTTGTGTGTGGGTGTGTGTGTGTGTGTGTCTGTGTGTGTCTTTGTGTGTGTGTGTGTGTCTGTGTGTGTGTGTGTTTGTGCGTGTGAGCGTGCGTGCGTGCGTGCGTGCGTGCGTGCGTGCGTGCGTGCGTGTGTGTGTGTGTGTGTGTGTGTGCGTGTGTGCGTGTGTGCGTGTGTGCGTGTGTGGTGTGTGTGTGTGTGTGTGTGCGTGCGTGTGTGTGTGTGCGTGCGTGTGTGTGTGTGTGTGTGTGTGTGTGTGCGTGACGTGAGGGTGTGCGTGACGTGAGGGTGTGTGTGTGTGTTGTCGGGGCGGGTGGGGCGGGGGAGGAAAGGATGAGGGAGGGGAAGGAGGAACAGGAGGAGGAGGAGGAGGAAGAGGGGGAGAGGACGAGTAGGGGCGGGTGGGGAGCATTTCGCCTCCGCGCCCCCTGCCCGGCGCGCCCCGCTCGCAGCCTCTGCCAGGTCCGCCACGTGCTGCGGCTGCGCGACGCCCCCGACGCGGCAGGCTGCCTGGAGCTGGAGGACGTCCCGGCTCCTCTTCCTCTGGCGGGAGGGGGGAGGAGGAGGAGGAAGAGGAGGAGGAGGAAGAGGAGGAGGAGGAGGAATAGGAGGAGGAGGAAGAGGAGCAGGAGGAGGGAGGAGGAAGCCGACGACGACCACGACGACGAGGAGGAGTGGGGAAAGGAAAAGGAAGACGATGAGGGCAAGGACGAGGACGAGGACAAAGAGGAGGAGGAGGAGGACAACGAAGACGAGGACAGACCCCTCAGAATCGCCTCTTGGAGCCCTCATGGGACTCTTGGGGGAATCTTGGGGGAATCTTGGGGGAATCTTGGGACTCTGTTTGGGGGTCTTGAGGCCCTCTTGGGGCCCTCTTGGAGCTCTCTTGGGGGTCCCTTGGGAGCCCTGGACATCGATCAACAGGGAGGGTCTTCGAGTTGCCTCCCTGCCCCGCCTCGGGGGCCATCGAAATCGCCTCTTCGAGCCCTCCTGGGGTGCTCTTTGGCCGCTCTTGGGCGCTCTGGGGGCCGCCCGGGAGCCCTCCCGGGCCCCTCATGGGCCTCTCTTGGGCAGTCCTGGGGCCCTCTTGCAAAAACACATCGGAAGCGAAACGACGAGAAGGCAAGGCTCAGTGATTTTCCATACAGTGCCGTGTTTAATACATGCTCCGCGTGCGGATCATGTATAAAACAATGCAGGGATATAGTATTAAAAACAACGACGAGTTCATGCATACATTTATTCATAGATTAACCATGCACTAAAACCTTATATGTTTTAAATTCCTATGCATTAAAAACTGCCTTGCAGGTTGTTCAAGGATGTTGGCTTCTTGGGGGTCCTGAGGGGGCTCCGAGAGCACTTGGAACCGTCTTGTGGCCTTCGCCGGGCCTCTTGGAGGGATGTCGGAAGCTGTCTTGAACCACCGTCGGCTATTTTGAGCCATCTTGGAGGCCATCTTGGAGCATCGGAGCCCTCTTGGAGCCATATCGGGCAACGATTCGCGGCCCGCTCCGAAAAAAAACACTTCTGGGAAGGGGGGGATGGAAACTTCCTGGAAGGGAGGAAGTGTTTGGAAGAGGAAGAAAGAAGTCGCCGCTAGACCACCTTAGCCCATAGGACTAGTGGGATGTGGGATTTCAGGGAGTTTGTATGCCCCTACCCACTAGCCCGAGTGGAGGGCAGAAAAGACATCAGCTAAGTAGCTGGCCAGAGGGGCAGCTCCCCCTCGGGCCTCAAATAATGGTCTCAGGGGGGCCTATGAGCTTGTCCAGGTATCCTCAATAGCGCTAAAGGATTAGGACCGCAGGATTGCAGCCGCTCGCGGAGGAGAAGGAGGTTCTCATCCCCCCTCTCCAGACGTCAAGGAGGGGGAGGGGAGAAGGACAAGCTAGGTGCGTTCGCGTTATGTCTGACGTCCTACCCCTCCCTCCCATCTCTTACCATGGCGTAGATTTCCTCTGTGTTCGCACAGTCGGATGTCGCAGCATGGCATAGCACTACATGGCATACCATGATGCTGAATATCAACGCGTAGCATGACATAGCATGCATGGCGTGGCGACGCCCCAAACTGGCGGGGGGGCTTCTGCGGGCCAAAAGTCAACGGATCGACACCGAATGTGGAATCACTTCCGATGGTACTTTCGGGGGGCAAGTTTTCAGATGTTGGGGCCGGTTTGGAAGGACAGAAAAACATGCCGTGGCGCAGCAATTGAAACAATGACGCCAGCGCTGCAGCGGGAGCACGGTTCGGAACGAGCGGAAGCGCGGAAATGATGCCAACGCTGCAGCGGGAGCACGATTTTGGAACGAGCGGAAGCGCGGAAATGAGGCCAGCGCCTCAGCGGGAGCAGGGTTTTGAAAAAGCCGAAGCGAAAACCCAGTTCTTGGGAATCTCGTGTGTAAAAAACCGTATACGGAGGGGGGCCGGATATTTTCCAGAAGTCGTCAGGGAAGAGAGGAGATAGTATTCATCTTGTGTAACTGTGGAGGAGGAGGAGGAGGAGGACGAGGAGGAGGAGGAGGAGGAGGAGGAGGAGGAGGACGGAGGAGGACGGAGGAGGACGGAGGAGGACGGAGTCCGGAAGCTCATGGAGCGAACCTCCTCACCCTTCTTTGCTCCTCTCCCTCCCGCTGTGGAGGCTGGGCTGGCAGACCCCCCACAACGGGAGCTGCCGCAGCTAAGTATGGCCGTTTTTGGTTTCTGGGGGCCCTCGCCGGGCCCCGGGACCGTCAAAAAATCATTCCGACAGAAAGACCCCACATGAAAATCCTTTCGGCCAATCTGGGAAATAACGTTCACTGTCGTTTTCGCGATTAGTGAGGCGCCGTTATTGTCTTCTCTGCGTTATTCTCATTCTCGCCCTGGCGCAGGGCCTTCACCCGCTCCCCGCGGTACCCTTGCCTCGCCCTCCTGCTGTTTGTTTCGTCACCCACCGCCTCCTCTCCTGTCTATTGCAAGAGCGCGCGTCGATTTTCCCCGACGCTGTCGCCGCCTCGGCCAGCGCAGGCGCATTCTCGAATGGCCGCGTCGCGCGGCCGTTGGGGCAACCCCGCGGGCCAGGCCGTTGGGGCAACCGCGCGAGCCGCTGGGGCGCGGGAGCAAGCCGCTGGGACAACCCCGCAGGCACCGAGCTAGTCACGGCCGCGCTCAGGCGGGAGGCCGCACGAAGCCAAGCTCTGCGGCGAGCTGTTCGGCCTCATCCCTGGAACTCTCCGCTTTCTGATCGAACTTCTCGAGCGCCTTCCGCAAAGACGCCGGCGGCCCGCGCCCCAGACACTCTCGCGTGGGCGGCCGCGGGATCAGCATGTACAGCATGCGCGGGGCGTGGGAGAGCATGACGTAGAGGTGCAGCCCCCACTGGTCGTCCGACAGGCCCGTGCGGTCAGCGTCCGCGTCCTTCGCGCAGTCGACGGTGACGCCCTTGCGGAGTGTCTGGCCCTGCGACAGCGTGGAGGTGAGGTAGGACGTGAGTCAGAGTGAACCCCGAGCGGCGCACGGCGTGCGGCCCCGAGCTCCGGCCCCCGTTTCGACCGAGGATGGGTGACCACCCCTGGCGCGGACGCAAGGGTTTCCCCCTGCGCCTGGCCGCCGTCGTCGTCCTCACCTCCTGTTCCTCCTCTTTCTCCTCACCTGACGGGTCGGGCGAATCGCCTTGTGAAAAGCGCATAGGGAGGGGGCTCCCGCCTGAGATTTCCTCGCATGTCACTCACAGACGAGGCTCCCCGCCGGATATTTCCTTAATATTCAAGCTTAGGGAACCCCAAAGTGATGACAGTTACAAGGTTGAGGATGACCCGTTCGGATGAAAAATATGACATGCGGGCCCCATAGGGAGGGGACTCCCGCCTGAGATTTCCTCGCACTTCGCTCACAGACGAGGCTCCCTCCTGATACCTCCCCCATACTCAGGCATCGGGAGCCCAAACTTGACGACACAGGTTCGAAGATGACCCGCCCGGATGAAAAAAATACGAAATGCGGGCCCCATTGGAAAGGGTTTCCCGCTCGAGCCATCCTCACAGTTCACTCACAGACGAGGCTCCCGCCTGATATTTCCCCCATAGGCAGGCCCAGGAACCCAAAAGTGACGACACTGACAAGTTCGAGGATGACGCGCTCGGATTAAAAACGCCATAGGGAGACGGTTCCCGCCTGAGACTGTCTCGCAATCCACTCACAGACGAGGCCCCCGCCGATACTTCCCCCATATTCAGGCCTCAGGAGCCCAAAGTCACGACAGTTACCGGTGCGAAGATAACCAGCTCGGATGAAACATATGAAACGCGGGCCCCATAGGTAGAAGACTCCCGCCTGAGATTTCCGGGGAATTCACTCACAGACGAGGCCCCCGCCTGATACTTCCCCCATATTCCAACTATCGAATGAGTGGGTGACTGAGTGAGTGAATGGCTGAATGTGTGATGATGAAGATGATGCGGATGATGAGTGCGTGGGTGAATGGGTGTGTGATCACGTGATGGCCAGGTGATCAAGATGGTTTGTGCGTGAGCGACCTCGATTGTGAGCGAGTGTGTGCATGATGACGATGACGATTGTGGATATGATTAGTGAATGAATGAATGCGTGAATGTGTGACTGAGTGGGAGAGTGAGTGATGGTGATGACGATACTGATGTTGATGATGATGTGGTGATGACGCTGCTGATGTTAGTGGTGGTAAGTGTGTGTGTGTGTGTGATGGTTACGTGATGACTGAGTGAATGACTGACGATGAGTGAGTGCGTGCGTGAGTGAGTGAGTGGGTGATGATGTAGTGTGTGTTCTGGTTCCTGCGCGGGGTGTCCAGAGAAAACAAGAACCCCACCTTGGATGTGGGGAAGTTTTCAGGATGAGCAGCTGGTCCCGCAGAATGGCTGAGACCTTTAGGGTCGGGCGTGTCGTCATGGGGGGCGATAGGAGGGGAACAAACATGGGGCACCTTTAGTACACCCGAGGGGCCCCCTAGAGACCAAAAGGGACACGACAGGTGCACCTTCCCCCCCCTCCTCTACATTCCACCCCCCTTATTAAGCAACGCCCAGTGGGGGTCGAACTTGTGAAACACATCGACGCAAGGGTTGTGGGTTCCTTGCGCCTCTTCTTCTGGCTGTGGCGCCCAGCCGGCAGAACCCCCCCCCACCACAGGAGTGGCCGCAGCTTCAGCCAAGTAAGGAATTTGCCTGCCAACGGTGGCCCACGATACGGTCGGGAACTTTTGGGTAGCGTGTCGCTCCACTGGTTCTGGCCCACCACGCTTCGGCGGGACACGCTATCCACATCCCGGACCCCCAGCGTCAACGTCCCGAGCTTTTCCGAGCCTCCCGCCCGCGGAGCGGAGCGACACGCTGTCCATTCGAAGAGCACTGCGTGTCGACCGGGCCGCCGCCGCGACACGCGAAGGAAAAGTTGCGGAACCGTAATGGCGCATCGCCCAATAGGGCCGCGGGCACATTGCGAAACTCAGGATCGACGGAGGATGTGCCCCCAGATTTCTTGCAGCAGCATCTTGCATCAG